CGAACACGAACGGGGTACGTTCATATTCGTTCGTTTAATTTTAAACAAATGAACGAACACGAACATAAACGAACAAAAAATGTCTTGTTCATGTTCGTTCGTTAGGGAATGTAGCTTGTTCATGTTCGTTCATGTTCGTTCAATTAATGTTCGTTCAATTAAATAATAAACGAACATAAACGAACGGATGTAAACGAACATAAACGAACAAAATATACGAATGTAAACGAACACAAACGAACGAACGTAAACAGACACAATAAATGAACATAAACGAACGTAAACTAACATAAATGAAAAAATATATTTTTTCTTTCCTAACAATTTTAGGATTATATTTTATTTAATTGTTGTGAGCTTTTTTTTATTTGTATTTAAAATTAATTGAATTTTAAAATATTTATGTGTATTAGATTAAAATTTATTGGGCTTTAATATTTTAAATGAGTCTAGAGAGATTGGGCTAATCATAAATGAACGCACATAAACGAACATAAATGAATGAACATAAATAAAAGACCATATTATCGAACGTTCACGAAAGTAAATGAACGAACGAGCCCTCTGTTTATGTTCATTCATTTAATTAAACGAACACAAAATCTTGTTCATGTTCGTTGATTTAATAAATAAACAAACATAAAAGAACTTTCCGTCAAACGATTCACGAACGATTCGCTGAACGTTTAGTTCGTTTACAGTACTACAAATTAATAAGGTCATCGTTTACATTTCGTCAATGAGCTTTAAATATTTGTATTTACCTTAATGGTTAAGATAAATATCTAATTTTTTTTTTTACTTTTTTAGATCTATGGTGCCTGAACTAAATTATCACATTTAAATACTAATATGAACCAAAAATATAATATTTAATTGGATTGAAAAAAGTTTGGATGTCAATATATATATAATTTACTCTTTATTAATTCCCTATAAAGGCACGAGTCCCTATGCTCACTTAGTGCAATTGGGCCTAGGGATTGGCATGAGACTCGAATCCGACGAGTTTTGATTCGATCCAATTCGATCGGGTCGGATTTATTTTTAAAAAAATTAGGTTCGGGTAGGATTAGTTTTTTTAAATGTGATATTTGGGTCGGGTTCGGATTTTGGGTGAAAAATACTCTATCCGACCCAATATATATAACCTATATATTTAAGTATAATTACAATAATATCACTCTATTTATAATTTTTTCAATTAAGTCACTGTTTTTATTGAATAAAAATAATTTTTTTATTATTTCAGCTCGAGCCGGTTCGGGTTTCTAAATTATATATCGGGCCGGGTTTAGGTCGGGTAAAACCTTATTTTGATCAAATCGGCTCTCGGGTGGAGGATCCCTTGTTCTCGGGTTGAGTCGGGTGGATCAAAAACCCATCCCATGCCCATCCTTAGTTGGGCCAACTAAAATGCTGTGGAGGTACAGTTTTCAGCACCGGACTATACTCGAAGAAATTAGTAGGCTTAAGCTCAAACCCAACGCTTAACGTGGGCATCACCGGAAAATCTTCTTATTCTCGATGGTGGAACCCCACGGTGTACCAAACCACAATGTCCTTATTCTCGATGCTCCGATTCTTCTCCGACCACACCGCTAGTGTGTCGTCTCCTCGACTTCAATCGACATATCGCCCGCTAACCCATTTCTCCGACTTGTTATACGAAGTCACCCACATGTTATAATTTGTGAAAACGGTTCGGATTTGCGGGAAGTCATCGGTGACGAGGAGTGGCCCAGCTGATGATCCAGGGACCAAACGTTACCCGACATTGTTCCCGAGTTTAGTTTCCTTGTTCGGGTTAACCACTAGGAGCTCTGGCGGGTTAGGCCCGATTTTCACCTTTGCATCGGATTTGGCTTTGGCTAAGTTATGTTCGACGTTCCAATAACTCTTTCTTGGAATGTTCTTGTCTATGACCTGTTTGGTGATTAAACGGGTCTTCATGAAGGAATTTGCATCGCCGTCGACGTCGAGATCGAGATGGTATGTTAGGAAATGATCATGGCTCACGCCGATTGTATTGCCAGCTACCAAGGCACCGTAAACTTCCTCTTTGATTTGGTCGGTGCGAATGTAGGGCACTGCCTTAACTTGTAACACTCCTGTTAGACCGACCTGTAGGGTTGTTCATTCGGTTAAAACCGAATCGAATCGAATCAAATTAACCATAACCGAATTAACTAAACTTTTTTTTTCTTTAACCGTTAACCGAACCGAACTTTTTTTTAAATATATTAACCGAACCGAATAAATTTCGGTTAATTCGGTTAATTTTCGAATTAACCGAATTTTTTTTAAAATTTTCTAATTTATATAAAAATTAAATGTTTTTTAATTAAAAAAAAGTTTATAATTAATTTAAATATATAATTATAAAATAAAAATTTCAGATAATTTTTTTAATTAATTAATATTGATTTAGGTTTAAAAGTTATTGGATCTTAAATTATTAATTGGGTTTTAAATGGTTTGGGTTTAGCCTATATGTTATATATAATATATATAATATTTTTTAATTAAAAAATAGTTTACAATTAATTTAAATAATATATAATTATAAAATAAAAATTTTATATAATTTTTTTAATTAATTAATATTGATTTAGGTTTAAAAGTTATTAGATCTTAAATTATTAATTGGATTTTAAATGGTTTGGGTTGAGCCCATATGTTATATATAATATATTTAAAATTTAAAATTTAATTTCGGTTAATTCGGTTAATTAACCGAATTCGAACAGAATTAACCGTTAACCGAATTCTAAAAATTTTCTTAACCGTTAACCGACCGAACTAATTCGATAACTGAACCGAATTAACCGAACTAATTCGGTTATTTTAATTTATTTTTCAAAATTAAAGATTAAAATAATAAAAATTTTAAATATAGAGATTAAAGAAGTTGTTTTACATTCTTATTTCTATCAGATCAATAATTAATAAAAAAAGAATACAAATTTTTTAAATATTTAAATTTAAAATTTAAGAGGAACAAAAACATTATTTGACTAATATACCTTTCGATCAACTTCATTATGTCGCCACATTACATCGCCGGAATGTCTTTCGAATATGCACATTGCGTCCGGTACTTTCACAGGTCTACCATCCGAGGATGCGTAGTAGCCGTCCACAAAGACTGCACCGGATGGACAATCGTTCAGGGGTTCCAATGAAATCGCAAAGTTTCCGATCCCGTACTCCCCACAGTGGAAGATTGTCGTGCGGTACCATCCCTCCGTCGGATCCTGATACGGTACGAAGAGCTCGGAGATGAATGATCGATACATGACTTGACATTTTTTCTTTCTGTTCGGCATCGTAGACGGAAGCTAGAGAGATCACTGGACCAACTCGAGCATCAAACGCTAGATGGAACTTCCAATTTGCCCAACTGACAACATTTCCATCAAGTTCGAACCCTGTTTGTCCCAGCGGCTTTGGTGGAGCAGAAATTGAAACGTGGACCGAAAGGCGGTGTTATCGTCGATGCTCGATAATCAGTTCCCTCAGCTTTCGGCAACGGAATCACAGCACGGTCGATGTATTTGGATATCCTCATTTGTTCAATATCGGCAACAATCGTTATACCTTCTATAGGCCTCAGGTACATATTAACTGTCCCATTCAAATAGAAACACTTTACTTGCAGCTCACGTCTCGTCTTCAGTTGTCCATACCAACCAATCGTTAGACCTAAGAAAGAAACTTCGGATATATTAAGCCCCCGTCGTTTAATCGATGCTAAAAATGGTTCATGTTTAAGGGCTAAATCCGCATCAGCTTCTTGGTTTTTGGCGGTAAGTATCGGGTACCCGAACCCTCGTAGAGTTTATCGGAAACAACGGAGCGTCTATATAAAGCGACGATAAAGTTCACGAGTTTGTTGTTTGAGTCTGAGAACGACCAATGCTCGGCGAGGTGGGGGTTTGGAGGAGGGTTTCGATAGCCATGATTTTACAACTTGTTTTTCTGGTTCCTCTAACCCGACATATTGGAAGCTTAGCTTGTGGTTGAAGGTAGGGTAAGATTGATTCACGATGGCTCGAACCAGGAGGAACTCGGAGGGAGTGAGTGAGTCTAATGGGTGGGGATTAGAGGTGACTCGGGATAGAAAGAAGATAGTGAAGGAGGAGAAAATTAGTGTTGTTTTGAACGGTGAAGCCATTGTTGACTCTTGAAAACCTTGAGCTTCTATTTGTCCTTAAATACCCAAAATATAATGCAACTTTGATTTTTCTTACAAAATTTAATCAGTCCATGTCTTAATTCTTGTTTTTGCAGTCAGTAATCAATTAAAATAACACGTGACAAAAATGAAATTCTTAATTAAATAAGAAAAATACAATAATTCGAATATAAGGATTAAATTCTTAAATTAAATGAACTACAGGGACTAATACCATAAATTGACCTGTCTTTTAATCACAGTAACAAGCATGTCTCCCATTCTACTTCATCGTCAAAGCTGTCTCACAAATTTAGTTCATATCGATTCGGATTCATATTTTATTTCTTGGGTTAATTATTAAAATGATCACTTTTGTTTTAATTTTATTTATTCATGATAATTTAATTTAATTGATCCACTGACCACAACTATGAAAAATATCTCAAGATATAAAATTAATAATAATGAATCCCACACCCACCGCCACCTACTTTTTTTGTCCATAAAATTTCTGTTGAAAATAGCAATTTCACATTATTTGTGGTCAAATCATTTTTGCTTCAGCTATCGGCCAACCCCATAAGATTCCATTTAATTTGTATTAGGTGTCAAAGGAAGAAAATCCAAGAAAAATAGAGACCGTGTACAGGCCTAACAAATTCATTTTTCTATTTAATATATACTTTTAGTTTAATTTATATATTTATAAAACTATTCCAATTTACAGCACCACTTAAACAAAATTTTCAATTTATCATTTTTAAATTTTCAGTTTTCAAAATAAAATTGGTGTTTCCATCCAAATGCAGCAAAAGCTGAGTGCATTAATAGCAAATATAATATAATCTTCTTCACACATCCACCGTTACCTTATTCAAGCCCAGTCAGTCATCTTCTAAGAAGATGACCAAATCCCACATTATTTTCCCATACAAAAACTTTCCCAACACCCAAACACACACAAAAAACCCTAAATAATCAAAACTTAACCATTAAGAAATTTCATTAAACAAGAAACAATCAAACAGGCCGGATATATTTTCTTCTTTCTCTTGATAAACTCTCAAGAACTCTCTCCTCAATACCTGTAATGAGGAGGCTTGTAAGGACCTTCCACAGGCACACTAATGTAGTCAGCTTGATCCTTAGATAGCTTAGTGAGCTTAGCTCCAAGCTTGCCGAGGTGAAGTGCAGCAACCTTCTCGTCGAGGTGCTTTGGCAAAACATAAACCTTCTTTTCGTATTTGCCGGTTGCCTTCTCCTTCCATAGCTCGAGTTGGGCAATCACCTGGTTGGTGAATGAGCAGGACATGACGAAGCTGGGGTGTCCGGTGGCACACCCCAAGTTCATCAGTCGACCTTCAGCCAACACAATGATGCCAGTTTTGGTTTCGGGGAAGACCCACCTATCGGTTTGAGGCTTGATAGTGATGCGCTTGACACCAGGATAGGTCTCGAGACCATGCATATCGATTTCGTTGTCAAAGTGACCAATGTTGCAAACAATGGCATTGTTCTTCATCTTCCTCATGTGATCAACCATGATGATGTCCTTGTTACCGGTTGTGGTTACAAAGATATCAGCCTCAGAGACGACATCTTCGAGGGTCAAAACCTGGAGTCCTTCCATAAGAGCCTGAAGGGCACAGATGGGATCAATCTCGGTAACAATGACACGGGCACCAGCTTGTTTCAAGGCAGCAGCACAACCCTTGCCAACATCACCATAACCACAGACAACGGCAACCTTGCCGGCAATCATAACATCGGTAGCTCTCATCAAACCGTCGGGAAGAGAGTGACGGCAACCGTACAAGTTATCAAACTGTTCCAAGAGATCAAATCAAATTACATCAACCATTACTAATCAATAAAACCACAATTCAATAACTAAAGCAAAGCAAACTTGAATTTATACTACTCGGACTCAATTTTTCCTAGTTTTAAGATCTATCTCCATAACCATGTTCTAAATTCATATCAATTTTACACTTGAATGAACACAGTCCGTCAAAGATTAAACAACCAAACACCAGATCTGAAGTAATTTACACAAAATGTGAAACCAATTTCATCAGATCTGAATAAGAAAACAAGAGATCTTCAATATAAAGAAGCTGATAAATGATTACCTTGCTCTTGGTGACAGAGTCATTGACATTAATGGCGGGGAACAACAAGGTTCCATTTACTTGCATTTGATAAAGCCTCTTAACTCCAGTTGTTGTTTCCTCAGAAACACCAACCAATCTCTCCTTCATCCTCCTGTACTTCTTGGGATCTGATTTCAATCCATCTCTGATAATGGTCAAAACAATCTGAAACTCGGGGTTGTCTGTCGACGACGGATCCGGGACCTGACCGGTTTTCTCGAAAACCTCCTCAGCTTTAACACCTTCGTGGATCAACAAAGTAGCGTCGCCACCGTCATCAACGATCAGATCAGGTCCACCGGTGGGGCCCCAATCGAGAGCTCTCTCGGTACACCACCAGTACTCCTGGAGAGTCTCGCCTTTCCAGGCGAAAACTGCAGCGGAATCGCGAGCGATTGCGGCGGCGGCGTGGTCTTGGGTGGAGAAAATGTTGCACGAGCACCAACGGACTTCGGCTCCGAGGGCGGTGAGGGTTTCGATAAGGACGGCGGTCTGGATAGTCATGTGAAGAGAACCGGTGATCTTGGCTCCCTTGAAAGGCTGGGAAGGGCCGAACTCGGTCCTACAGGCCATGAGACCGGGCATTTCGACTTCAGCCAACTCAATCTCGAGTCGGCCGAAATCGGCCTGAGACATGTCCTTGACCTTGTACTCACGGCCAGCGGCGGTTTTCTCGACGGAGAGAGCCATGACGAATAGAATTGGAGAAAAAAAGAGGGGAAGAATCAGTTAATACACTCTCCCTTAAATGAAGATTGGAGTGGGAGTGGCGAGGGATTTGAGAAGAAGTGAGGTGTTATAAATAGACTAAAGATGTGGAATTGGACGGCCGGGATTTGGTGGGTGGGTTGGTGGATCTCATCTAAACCTAGATGCTGATTTATCACGTAATCGTTGATATATTTTTGTCATATTTTAATAATTTAAATTCATATAAATCAAAATTAAAAGTATTCGAACTTATTAAACAGTTCAATGGTTAAGGAGAGTGTTATTTTTTTAAAAGTCTTAGATTCGAGTAAATATATTTACAGAAAGAGCGTGTTGTCAATAATTAAGAAATATTATGAATATATATTATCTTATAATCATCTTAAATTATTTTTAAAGATGGACTTATTCTATAATTTTAAAAAGTTATTTTTTTTTGAAGAATTTTTCTATATTATAAAAGAGTCATTGGTTATTAGAACTGTGAGGATTTTATAAAAAAAAAATAAGTTACGTATCAAAAGTGAGTTTAATTAAATTTAATTATAATTATATAATTTTAATATGTTTGAATAATTATTGTAATTTATATTTTTAATTGAATTGAATATATTATTTTTGTTTTAATTATATTTTTTAATTCTTACTGGATGTATGACAATAGATGTAATTACGCATGTAAATATATTTTTTGATTTTATAATTAATTTTATGTTAAATTAAAATTATACAATTGTGTAATTATAATTTATATACCAAATATAACATATAAAAGTATAATATAATTACACTATGGTGATTATATATATATATTTATTTATTTATTTATTTATTTATACAATTACATTATAGTGTTCGAACATATTTTTAACATAAATAGTAAAATATAATTATTTTAAAAAATCATATCCGTATAATTAAATTTGTTACTTATTAATTTTTGGTGATTTTTTTATAAAAAAATTATTGTTGATAAAAAATGAGAAAAAAATGTGAACATCAATTTTAATTTGGTATATACATCATCCTCAAAAATAAATTCTAAATCTAATTTTAACCCACAAATCAAACACAACTTAAACCCCGACTAGAGTAACCCAAAACTCACCCTTGAATTCATTTACCTAACAAGTATGCCTACCTAAAATAACGAATTAGAGTAGTGGATAGGGCTGGCAATGGATCGGAGATGGATCGGTGGAGCTTCATCCGCCCCATCACCCGCGGTCCAATTCTCCATCCAAACCATCCATCACCCACCAAAAATTTCATTCATATCCGCTTCATCCATCATCCGCGGGTGGAGCGGGTGAAACGGATGAAAAATGGATGATATTAGGGGTGTAAACGAACCAAGTCAAACTCGAATATTATTGAGCTCGACTCGAACTCGAAACCATTTATAGTAACTCGCAAGCTAAAAATTATCAGATTCAACTCGAACTCAAAATATAATATTAAAACTCAACTCGAAAAGGCTCGAACTCAAAAAACATTTCTAAAGCTCTATTGAAGCTCGATACTCAAACTCAATTGAAACTCGATTTTAAGCTCAATTCAAGCTCGAATTAAAACTCGAAAGGCGAAAGAATAATTCGCTCGCACGGCTCGGTAAGTTGAAACCATATATTTGTACTTTAATTTATAGAGTCACTTGGGTTGCACTCGATTATCTCTCGACAATATTGTACAGTATAGTATCTTGATATTAAATGCTCGCGATCTGACTCGTCTCATTTACGGCCCTAGATGATACTATGAACAAAACCTATTTTTACATCATAAGCTCAAATTCTTCTAACATTCATAGAAACCAAACATTGATACTCAAACATTCATAGAAACCAAAACATGAACAATAAATTTTCATCAAATTCAAACAATCATCCGTTTATTTTTTATATATATATATATATATATATATATATATATATATATATATATATATATATATGCATATATGGATGGATGTTGCGGGTGATGGGCCAAAAAAAATTCGTCAATATCTGACCCGACCCATCATCCGATCCATCCATCACCCGCCAATCATCCGTTTCACAACGAGTTTTCATCCATTTATTCGAGGCGGGTGGGTGGATAGTCCACTCACCCATAGATAATTGCCAGCCCTAGTAGCGGAAGACGAAAAGCACAACATAAAAGTAAAGTCACGTTTGGTACTTCTCGTAAAACGATATCATTAATCAAATTTTTTTATTAAAAATCGAGAGATGTAACACGAGCACTTCCTAAAATCGTTGACCATAAATTCATAGAATGAAGAGATTCGTGACGACGAGTGGACAAATACATCCTAAAGGTATCATCACCCAACAATAGGATCGATGGAGGTAATTTTCGAAATTATTTGTTTATATCTATTTGAATCTGTTGAGATTTTGAGAAAATTAATAAAACCATCGACTTCATTAATAAAAATAATTCAAATATAGAAATTGTTATGTTTTGGAATTAGGGATTATGATGTTCAAAGGCTTGTTCAGGTGACGAGGTTTAGAATTGGTACTTTACCTGTGAGATATTTGGATGTGCCCTTAGTTGGTTTGCAAAAATGTTTTATCCTTTGCTGGTAGGCTTCAACTTATTCAAGCAATGAACTTTCGTATACAAAATTTTTTGGAATATGATGCTTTTGCTGCCTTCAAATAACAAATTACTAATATTTGCAATGCCTTTCTTTGGAAAATAAATGATGTTTCTGCTCGAGGGGCTAGAATAAGTTGAGAGTGGATTTGTCACCCTGAGTGTGAAGGAGTGATCGGGATAAAAGACATCTTAGTTTGGAATAAAACATGCATGATGAAATGTTTGTGACTTATTTTATATCAATCTAGTTATTTTTGGGTTGCTTGGGTGGAGAAATACCTGCTGAAAGGGTGCACTGTATGGTAGTTTCAAGTAAAGACTAGCCATAGCTGGGCTTGGAAAAAATTAATAAAACTTAGAGATGCGTTGGCTTTGGTTGGAAATGTGCAGGGGAGGTATAAAGTAAGGGAAGTTTGGGAGCTGTTTAGACATAAACATGATAGGGTACCTTGGTTTAGAGTTGTTTGGGGAGGGCTGGTCATTCCTCAGTCACTTTTATTTCTTGGTTGGTGGTGTTGGATAGGCTGCCAACTAAAAGTAGGATGCTAAGATGGGGTGTCAAATAGACCCTCAGTGTTTGCTTTGTGGTGATTAATTTGGAGATGTGCAACCATCTTTTTGTTGATTATGCTTGTCAAGTTTGAGATTTAATTTTGCAAGCTTGTAGGCATGATGGATTTGATTAATCTATTGCAAAAGGTTTGCAAATGGAAGTCTTTGCAGGCTACTATCACTCGGTTAGCTTAGTGTACGCTTAACTACTATATTTGGCAGTAGAGGAACAATAGGCATTATGGGAGTGGAGAACGTCGGGTCAGTGTTATTTTTTCTCAGATTAAGAATGATACTCGTCTAAGGCTTGTTGGAAATAGGAAGATTTCTAATTCAAATTCTAGTTTAATTGATGATTGGGGGTTTTAGTTTCAAATTTTGTTGTTGTCGGTTCTTTGGTTTATTTTTTATTGATTTATTTCTTTAGGTGATGGGAATCGAGTGATGTAATGTTTATTTGTGTTCGAGGTTTTTTTTGGATGAATAGATGAAATTTATCCAAAATAATAATAATTCAAATAGATTTTTTAGAGATCTTCGACCATCATCATTACTAAAAAAAATCTTTTATTTCGATGGCTAATTCATTAAATAATTGATTTAAACTCGTAAAACAATCTCTTAATATCTACAAATCCAATTGATTTGTCTGTCATTTTCAACTGCTTAATCAACTTAAAATGGAACTATTTTAGTACTATGACTAAATTGAACCTTCTCATTGTTGAGATTAACTGGTAACGGCTCTTATTAATTTGGAACATTAGGGTTTTTTTTGAAGGGGATAAAAATTACTTTAATAAGTCCCATCACCTATGTCTAGTTCACTAACGATAAAAATGATTTAAAAATTTTATTTAAGGCACTCATGATAAATCTACCTTCTAAATAAAAAATATATATATTTACACCATAATATTAATTTGATATGATAGGATGGGCATGGGTTAGATTAGGTTGTGTCGGATTTTTAGTCCATCCGACCTTACCCGAGAACAATGACCCTTTAACCCGAGATCTAACCTGACTCGTATGAAACAAGATTTCACTCGATTAGACACGAAATAATAAAAATATTATTTTTATTCAGTAAAAATAATAACATAATTAAAAAAATAATATATAGAGGGGTATTATTGTAATTATACCTAAATATATAAGGTAAAATTATATTTTTTTCGAATCGAGTCGGGTATTTTTCACCCTAAATTTTCTAAAAAAAAAATTAAAAAATTCACATTTAAAAACCCGACCCGAATTTTTTATTAAAATATCTGACCCGATCAGGTCAGGTCGGGTCAGAACCCGTCGGGTTCGGATCTTATGCCCATCCTAGATATGGACTAGCAAAAATCTATTTTTCCTATTTTTTTTCTTTCTAAGCCATAAAAAATCATCAATTAAACAATTTATTTAACGCAATATCTTAGTGTAAGTAATGTTATTGTTATTTAGAACAATTATTTTATGAAAATTATATAAAATCATAGTTAAATATTTATTTTAAAAAGTATATGTTTAACAAATTTGAAATCATAATCTCTATATTAATAATTTTTCGTTTCAGAACTGTTTATTGTAAATAAAAAGATGGGAACCAGATTAGCGCAAAAAAACTATTGTGGACACCTGGCTACTTTGTGAAGTGACACTTTAAAGAAAAAAACTAGGGATGGGCATCTAACCCGAACCCGACAGGTTCCGACTCGACCCGATCGGGGTTGGGTCGGGTTTTTTTATGTGGTGTTTGGATTCGGGTTTAGGGTGAAAAAAATTTGACCCGACCCGACCCGGAAAAAATATATAATTTTACCTTATATATTTAAGAATAATTACAATAATACTTCTTTATATATTATTTTTTTCAATTTAGTCACTGTTTTTATTGAATAAAAATAATTTTTTTTATTATTTCGGGTCGGGTCGGTTCGAATTTTTTAAACTATCTATTTGGTCGGGTCGGATGAAAAACTAATTTTATCGGGACGGGTCGGGTCACGGGTGGAGATCCCCTTCTTTTCGGGTCGGGTCGGGTGGACCAAAAACTCGACCCATGCCCATCCTAAAAAAAAAAATCTCATATCAACACATCTAATACTTGTCTATCATTTATGGCTCGTTAGCTGTGATTGATTTTTTTTTTTTGGCTTGATTTTAAAATAAGTGCTCGTTCTACACTTAAATTTAACTTTCAGTGTTTAGAGATTCTTTAGTAAAAAAAATGTGTGTCTAACGTTTTATCTATTATATTTTTAAATATTTAATTATTTTTATGTTATTTTTGTAGGTCTTTCGGTTGTAACGGTCGTTAAAAAATAATATTATCTGACATGTATTACTAGTATAAAATTTTATTTTTAAAAAAATTAAAATTATTATTATTTTTTAAAACTCAATATTTTTGAAATTATAAATCCTAAATCCCCAAAAACTGTAATTTCAATCCCTTACCACCGTTGGCTACCACCAATAGATTGGAATTCCAACGACGTGTGACTTACCGAATCTCTATGCTTTATACTATGATTGCTGCGAAAAATAATCAATCATAGCATGGAGAACTCCTTTCAATCGATCGTGATATCTTATATTTACACGGTTGTTGGGTGCTCGATCGGTCGTGAAAGTAAGGGGTTTCGACCATTGAGTGATTTTTCGATCGTACAACGTTGGATGTTCGACCGATTGACGGTGTTGATGGTCGTCGACGGTGCTAAGGGAATAAAACTAGGGTTTTAAGAGATTTTTATTTTTTTAATTTTATAAATTTTTGATGTTTTTATAATAAATAATAAATTTATTTTTTAATTTAAATAAAAAATTTAAAATTTTATCAACGGACACGTGTCACTTAACGACTGAATTTAACAGTTGTTACAATCCAAGTACCTAAAATTGTAACACAAAAAATATTAGACACATTTTCAACAAAAAAAATCTTTAGGCACCTAAAATTAATTTTGTTTAAACTTTGAACACTTATTTTTTTTTCATTAAACCACTTCTTATTAATCCGAATTTTCAAAGACTCTTGATCATTTGATATTAAATGTGCATACCTTGCATACGAGATGTTTAAACTCGAAACGTCAAAAGATAACAATAATTCTTGAACCACCGAGATCACTTGGTCCGTATTGTTGTGATGATTTAAAATTGTGAATCGAACTGATTAATTCTAAAATTAAGTTAAATACGATTTGTATTTTTTTATTTAAATTAAATTATAAAACAATATAAAAATCTTATCTTTAATACTTTTAAATATTGAAACAAGTAACTGGGTCGGGTTTGAAAGGGTCGAACCCACATTCCGGCCTAATTTGTTTTGAATCAGATCCAGTCTAATTCATTAACGCTTTTATTTATGTTTTTATAATTCTAAAATTTGTTTTTCTCTTTTAAAAATATATTTTATTTCTTTAAAGTAAAAATTACAGTATTTAAATCAATTTATAACTCTTAAATAGTACTCTACTGTAATAAATAAACTAATTACCAATCATACTCTTTTATATTTACTTTTAAATAAAAGAATTCTGAATGTGATTTACAGGGTACTACTCAACAGCAAAATATCACTGTAAAGCTTGCGTCGGTGGTCGCTTTATGAACAAGCCATGTGCTTGTACCATCCGGATCTCCTGGTTGTTGTAAATCAGGAAACTTTGTGCGGTGAGGACGCTTCTATTTTCCAAATACGAGCTCATTCTTCTTTATGGCATATAAATATAATCATCAGAAGCTAAACAAAAATAAAATGCAATAATCAAATCATCTCGGTGGTTAAAGTAGTAGTCGTTATCTTTAGAAGTTTTATGTTCGAGTATCAGTGATTGCAGAACATTTATAACAAATATTACTTAGGGATGGGCATGAGACTCGAAGTCGATGAGTTTCGACCCGATCCGATCGAGTTGGTTTTTTTTTTTTAATTCGGGTTAAATTCGGGTCAGGTTTAGGGTGAAAAATATCCGACCCAAAAATATAAGTATACCTTATATATTTTGGAATAATTATAATAATATCCCTCTATATATTATTTTTTCAATTAAATTATTGTTTTTATTAAATAAAAATAATATTTTTATTATTTCGGGTATAGTCGGGTTGGGTGGAGGGTATATATTATGCGGGTAAGGTCGGATTTTGGGTAGATTAGTCATTATTCTCGGGTCGGGTTGGGTGGACCAAAAAATCGACCCAACCCAACCTATGTTCATCCCTAATATTACTACTTGTAATTACTCTAGATTAATAGCTCACTTTTTTGGGTAAACTATATATTTAGTCATCCACTAATTTTCGTAGTTCTGTTTTGATTATTCGTCGATAAAAAATAAATAAAATAGTTGACGTGATATTTTTTTATTTTTCAATAGTGATAGGACATTACCTTATAGTGACACGTCATAATCGTAGTTATTTTTTTAACGTATGATGATAAATACAAAATCAAAACATAATATACGATTTAAAAATAATAATTATGTGACCAAAATAATAAGTACGGTCATTAAATGCATAGTTTATCCATTTTTGTTTTGGTTTGGTAGAGTAAGGTTAGTATTTTTTTAATTAATCATTGATATTTGATCTATTAACCGACTAATCCAGATCGGGTATTACAGAGGCGAAGGCGACCCTCCCAACCCAGTTTACTCCATTCGCAAATGTCAGGATTCAAACTCCTGACATTGCTTAAGGGACCTAGTGTCTCATTTCACTAGACCAACTGATTATTGATAGAGTAAGGTTAGTATTTGATACAATACCAGCGGAGTATTTTCTTTTTACAAGCAACGTTTAAATATCCTTACGTGCTTTTATATATTTATTTTTAATAATGAAAGGTTGAAAATTTTAATAAAAACATTAAAAAATGTGAAAATAACTAAATAATAAAAAAAAGACGGCTAAAATGTTCAGGTTAAACGCCGGTGTAACATTGAAGTTACCAATTTGCCATATTTTAGTTTAGAAATTTAATATATATTTTTACTTTGATAGCTACTTTAAAGTAATTTTGTACGTTTGAAATGTAATTGACAACGATTATATATAAAATACATGTTTGAAAGGTGTGATCGTATGGGAAAAGGGTCAACAATAGTTGGAACTTGGAAGGTGCTTGCACCAAGCCACCAACCCCCCTACAAGGTGTGATAGTATGGGAAAATGCAGAATTTTATATTACGACAAAGAATTCTTAAAATAATTTAAAAGCGAATATATAAAACTTTAAAAAATAAAACATATTATCAATAAAAAATTTATCGAAAATATATAAAAATTTATCATAACTACTACTACTATATTTATCTCTGCCTATTAACCACCAAAACTTCAAGACTAATTTTTCGGCTTACGATTTCTAATGTTTACCAACCCTTATTGTAGGGACATCTAAGCTAACATAGTCGACTACTCAATTATAGTGGGTCATATGATAGGCGGAACTAGAAATTTATTATAGTAGATAAGGTTAAAGTATTTTTTATTTTTTATAAATAAAATATTTTTTAAAATTTAGAGAAACTGATAAATTTTTGTTCTTTATTTATTTTTTTAATATATATATATATATATATATTTAATATTAATTAATATTTAAAAAAATTATTGGCGGAGACCAAGGCTCCCTTGCCCCCCCCCCCCCACGATGTTCCACCAATGCATATAATATATATTGTCAATTTGACATTCTTGTACGCATGTATACGATTTCTAATGTTTACCAACCCTTATTGTAGGGGCATCTAAGCTAACATAGTCGACTACTCAATTATAGTGGGTCATATGATAGGCGGAACTAGAAATTTATTATAGTAGATAAGGTTAAAGTATTTTTTATTTTTTATAAATAAAATATTTTTTAAAATTTAGAGAAACTGATAAATTTTTGTTCTTTATTTATTTTTTTAATATATATATATATATATTTAATATTAATTAATATTTAAAAAAAATATTGGCGGAGACCAAGGCTCCCTTGCCCCCCCCCCCCACGATGTTCCACCAATGCATATAATATATATTGTCAATTTGACATTCTTGTACGCATGTAGTAGGTATTCTTACCAAAACGATAGGGCTGCTTGGTTATTGTTAAATTTTGAAACTAATTGGGAATATTACATTATCAATTCAATGAAAATTATTAGAATTTGATGATAAAATTTTACATTGGTAGAGCGCAAGGTTCTTAACCTTATGGTCGTGAGATCGAGTCCCACGGTGGGCAATTCATAATTCTGACTGTCGGAGATCTTCCACGGAAGCTGCTCTCAATCTGACGTTGAGACAGCCTATTACCTTACCTCCCTCTCACCCCATTACATATGGGAATAGGGTCAGTTAATTTAATTTTTATTTTGATATGTAATATAATATTTGACGAACCAATCAACATAGTGACGACATCAGACACTTGTATAAGTAGGCCGAAAAATCCTCCATCTGCCACCGCATAGCTCCACACCACCTTGTTCATTTCTCTAACCAAAAAATGGATCCGGTGAACTCTTGGGGCAACTCTTCCCTCCAATCCGTCGACCCCGAAATTTAACTTGGTTATTATCAAGTTGAGCTAAGTCATCGAATAAATCAAATTCGAATACCCTAATACTTGACGAGACCAGCTTGAAAACCTAATCAGGCCTTTCCATCTTATTAATTAGCATTGACAAAACACAACTCAAGCTTAAACTCGAGTTCAAGCAAAAATAATCGAAAATGAAGTTGAGCATGAGAAATTAGGCTCATGTAAGCGATATGAATCAAGTCTAATAGTACAAGCTCGAGTCGAACTTAAGCTTCAAGCCGCAGATTATGAGCCGAACTTAGCTTATTGTAGCTTGAGTTTGGCTCGATTCGATTCCACCCTAAGCGGCTGCAAAGGCAGCCAAGAAACAACCAGAGCTCGTGAATTTTAGAACGGTCTTATATGTAACAACAGCAATGGCAGTGCAAAGGCAAATTCACAGATAAGATATAAATTCTAATAGTGGAATTAAATGACATTTCAAAAATGGTGGAACTAAGACCAGATTCCATAACAAAAACTTACATCATATGACATCGATAGCCAGTAAAATAGCGGTGGCGTATCGGTATCACAGCTGTTATTTCCCGGTATCGACGCCGTCCGCAACCGCTATTTTGAACAGATAACTCAAAATCTCATGATTCAAGTGGAAATAAATCTCTAAGTCGAGTTTAGGATTTCAAAAATTACCTTACTTGAATTCCCTGATCTGCCGGAAACTTGAAGGCGAGTGAGGGTGGGCGGTGAGAGACATTTTATGGCGGCAGCGGATGTGTGAAGTGAGATGAGAGTAGATCGGGAAATTTTGGAGAATTTTATCTTTATATATAATAATGTTTTGATAAACTGCACATCCATTAGTCACTAAATTTTAGGTATTATCCGGTTTAAATCTCTAAATTATAAAAGGTTTTAATTTGACATTAAATTTTTTAAATAGATTTTTTTATTATTGAGATGTTAAATAATTAACGACGTAATAACATAATCATTATCTTCTTTAATTTTCATAGAACATTGTTAATTCATTCAAAAATTATCATTACTCGATCATTACTCATCATTGGATGTCGTTCATTATAAGATCAACATCAAAATATTCGCATCCTCTTGTTTCTCTTATCAGATTGATTTTTCATGTAACTCGCTAAAAATGACGAAAATAAACCTAAATATTTGACCTTTAATGCTTTGATCTCTTTCGCCGTTCGTCCAACAATCTTAATTTTGAGGTATGTTATTTATCTTCTCAAAATAAAATTCTCAATCATTTATATTTTTGAATGAACACTGCAAAACCTTTAAAACCGAAACCCCTAACCTCCCAAAGTATACTATCATGAGTTTTATATTAACTACGTCATTGATAAATTAATATTAACACAACTAAATCACAATCTATTTTTGGTGATTACGATCGTCTACTCGATTTCGATGGTACAAAATCAAAAAATAAATAGAATAACTAAATAAATCTTAATTGAAAATATTATATATATATATATATATATATATTCATTTTCTTCTTCAATAGTCATTATTACTGACAAAGTTACAACTGAAACTTCAAACACCGTGAAACAATAAGAGTAAAAATAATAAGGGAGAAAGACAACATTAAACCATAAAGTAAAAAGACATTCATAAGCTGAACATTGCAGCGTTATCTCAAATCTCATCTTCAAAGCCTTCAAAGATCTTCAAAAACACCAAAAATATTGCCATCCATGTAATTGTTATCCACCAAGCTCACCAAATAGTAGCTGTTCTGAATCTGCAGAAACACGGAATCGGAAACGATAGTGTCATTATACAACGTTAGTTGGACCTTAGGGCGAGTGCCGGATGCAGTAGTATATGTCACCCTCGCATGCATGCTTGACTTTTTCTATGTTTTTGCATATATTCAAATAAACATATTCCCTATTCCTATATCCGAATATGTGTCGAAATGTGCAACATGGGTGCGGGATGAAGAAAGTGTTTGAAGTTGGAAGAATATAGATATGATATTGTGCTTAACCCTAGTAAATATGAAGTGCAAGAGTGAGCATCAAAGTGAACAAAAAACCTGATCGAGCAGGATTTTGGAATGATCGCCATCTGGGTACAAGGCAGACCACGATCGAGACCAGATCTCGAATGCTTCATCCTTCCACACCACGAAGCTGGCAGGATCCACAACGGTTGGCTGGATTATTTCTTTAGCTGGGAAGACTCCCCAAGTTACTGCATTCACATCTTTGACGCTAATGTTTGATATCAAATTTCCATTTTTGTTGACAGCAACATAGGTCAAAGATGGAAAGGACTTGCTCTTTTTCACGAGTGCATCTAATTTTCCCGGTGAGCAGAAAAACTCGAGATAAGCCTTCTGGTAAACATACCCTCCGGGGCCACCCCAACCTGCAAAGCCATCATATCAAGACAATTTAGATCTAACACACCACCGGCTTTTACAATGAAAAGTTGAAGAGAAGGGAAGACGGAAGGTTTGAACTGGACAAAGTACAATGCTTTAACAATAAAGATCTGTCTGTTCCTTCGAATAAAAACCAGTTCCTTTTAACTCGTCGATTAAAAATCTCTCTCATACAATTAGCTCAAAAACGAACAACACCGGATAGTAGTATTCTTTGAAAGAGAAATATTCTATTGAACCATATTCGAGGATACACAAGAAAGATTAAGCCAGATACTTGTACTTACCAACAGATGGAGAATCAGAGCGTTCTCCGTTGACAGCTGGTTGGCTATTGATGGTAAGGAAACCCTTCAAATTGATCTTTCCTAGCTGTTCGTGTATGATCTTTGTCTCCGGCTGAAGCCCGTCCAACTCGGACCAAGGGCTACTTCTCAACTTACCCAGACAATAACTTTGAAATTTCTGAAAACCCCCGATTCAAGAATACATAATTAAGGCCCGTTGAATTGGAAAAGAGAAGAGAAAAGACCAAATGGATTCCAAGCTAGAAATTTCACCTCTTGAATATCATCGATGCTTTTCAATGGGGTAGCCCATTCTTCTTGGAGTTTCTTGTCACGAGCACGGGGCCTCATGAACTATTGAGAAATGAAATCAACTTTGGTCATACACAGGCTATATCATCGAAACAAGAAAGTAAAAGAGGACATTTCATCGACCAAACAAAAGTTCACATTTATCTCCACTTCAGCATAAAAGGATAAAATAATAAAGTTACTTCTTGCAACAAAAATTGTACTTGTCATAAATTCACCGAAATTTGGTGTTCTCTATCAATGGAAAGATACAAATATCATTGAGCAGAAAAAAATTGCAGCTGTGCTTCCTCCAAGATATAATGAATGGATCAAAGATACTTTGAATATCATAAATAAGAAACAAATAGCAAAGTTCGACCATTTAGTATACCTGATGGTCAGATAGCGCACCGTATGAGGGATTTCGAGAATCACCCCATCGCCCCTGTGGGTACTGGTCCCAGCCAATAGTCCTGGATATGTAACTCTTTGGACGGTTAGCCCTGCCATCATTAGCCAGAAAATCAGATGTTGAGGAATTTTCACATTATTCTACAACCGAGTGAACTGCAGGCATTTAGCCAAGAACCGGGATGCTTGACAATTATCACATACCAAAATATAGGGCGAACATCCTCTTTAACACGGAAAACATTCGCAGGGCGTCTCCAAGGTAAAGGCCTGGAAATTTTGGACTCTTCAATCAATCCAAGATTCTGCAAACAAAAAGCCTATGATTAGCATGGGGCAAATGAATAGTGACAAACTTTAGCTCAATTGCAGAAAAATTGTTTCCGACATATTATCTTCATATCAAGCAAAGCTTAAGTTAAATGAAATTTGAAAGTCAATCCATTGTGTATTCTGTACTTGCGTGTCCATAATTTCCTTCTTTATATCGACTGATATTTAATTATTTTAAAGTAATCTATGAGAATGTATGAACTGAAACCAATTAGTTCGATATTCTTTTCTAAAATAAGTGAACAAAACATAAAGTTCAAGAAGTCAAATGATATTCAGCAATAACATCTTTAACATGCAAAAGTAATGATGAAATATAGGATAATAAGAAACAACCATTAGGATAGCTAATGCAGATTTCTCCATGTTCAATGTGTAAAGGTGTAACGTCTTAATCCCGTTAGCTAAAATCTTGCGGCACATTTCTGTTCCAAGGTGAATTCCATAGGCTTTGACAGCTTCATCGTTGTCCTTGATAGGCTCTAAGGCAGCGGTAATCTCATCTGGTATCTACAATGACCCATTAAATGTAGATGTTGCAATAAAAAAACTATTAAAGGAAATAACCACCAAATAGGGCTTCATATCCACTCTTCTAAGCAGCCATAATGAATATATTCAATCACTAAAAAAAACATATTAGGGACCAAGGAAATGCTTGTGTTATTCTTTCTATAAGCACGGATTTACCTCAATGAGATCACCACTGCATACTGAATTATTCGAAAAAACTATTTCAGAAAAGTGGAACAGGTTATAGCACATACCTTAGTTTTGCAAAAGCCAGTCATTCGTAAGAAACCCTTGTAGTTATTAATAGGCATAATTCCAGGAACGATAGGACAATTAATTCCAATTTGGCGACAATCATTGACGAATTTGAGAAAGATTTCGGTATCATAAAACAGTTGAGTAACAATCAGATCAGCTCCTGCATCAACCTACGAATTACAGAGGTTTTAGCACGAAAACTAACTAATTCGATGCAATGAAAACAAAACATTCCAATTAACCAATAAGTTAAAAGTAAAAAACCTTTCTCTTCAAGTAAGCAAGATCATTCTGATAAGCTTCCGGTGTCGCTACACCATTATCCCCTATAGCATCAGGATGAGCCTCTGAGCAAAAAATAACACCATTAGTAATCACAACCAACAAAAGAAACAACCCTATTTGCACCAGACAACTAAAAGAAGATCAATGCACCTGGATAACCAGCAACCGTTATGCCAAAGTAGTCACCATATTTAGCTCTAATATGTTTCACCTAGAATATTGTAAGAAAATTTAGTAACATATTCATGGGGGGGAAAAGGAAGCAAAGTAAATGAAGAAAGAACAATGGTGTTTACCAGATCAAGGGCACAGGCGAAGCCGCCTTCGACCTGGACAAACTTGTCCTGGCCATGAGGAGGGTCGCCTCGAAGGGCGAGAACATTCTGAATGCCATTGGACTTGATGGTCTCAAGAGCATGATCAATCTTCTCGACAGGCATGTTAGTGCAAGTGAGATGCATCATTGTTTCGACACATATGATGTTTTGCATCTTGTTAGCAATGTCCAAAGTGAGATCCGCCGTCGAACCACCGGCACCCCACGTGATGTCACAGAAAGATGGATTGTGAGCCACCATTCGATCCATCCTTTCAAACAGGTTGTCCACTCCATCCTCGGTCTTTGGAGGGAAGAACTCAAAGGAAAACACCACTTTCCCTTGGTCCTGTTGCGAAGACTGGATCTTTTCTATCACCTTCATCTTTAATTGGATCCGAGACTCTCAGTGCCAGCAACAGCTACAAAAAGTAAATTTCAATAACTGAAAATCAAAACCCAGATTTTTCTTAAGAAAGAAACATCAAACCCAAACCTCAATCCGAACGAAAAAACTGATAATTCAGAGATGAACCCAAGTTTCATTTTGAAAAACAACACAGAAAAGATAAAAAAAAATGAAGAATTCACATCAATCATTTTTAAGTAAATCAGATAAGCTGAAACATAAATGATACACTAATGCTACAAGTTGCATATTCAAGAATCTAACAGCCATTGAATCTTCCCATATTCATTGGGTAAAAGTACAACATAAATGCCATGAAAATATTCCCAGAAAACATGAAAAAGAAAGGGAGCTCACAAGTGCAGGAACTTTGGGGATCAAACGAGAGATGCGAAGCAGAGAATGGTTGGGAAATTGAGCTTGTATTTGAAAGCTGAGTGGAGAGGGGTTGGTGTGGTTGAAATGACAAATTTGCCATTCAACAACCCAAAAGCTGGTGTTAGCCCACCACACACACCAACTTCCATGAGATATACTTTCTCCAGTATGATAATATCTTTTTATAACCGATTAATTAAGAATCCATTGAATAACTTCAATGGCAAATGAATTTTTTTTTTGAGATATTGAGTTAAAATAACTACATACATAATTGAGTGAGTATATATTCATTGCCAATTAATTAAAATAATTCTAAATAAATATTATTCTTATAATCACTTTAAATTAATAAAAAATTATCTAATTAACTGATAATCAATATATAATAATAATATTTTATTAGCAACCTGCCAAGCTCCAAACTTCGATCATATACAAAATTTGACCTTTACCAACCATAAACAGTGACATGTTTGAGTCGCAGCTCCAAAACGTGGACAAAGATTGGTACTTTTATTTCTGACCAGAACTACTAAAGATTTTTTTTTCTTTTTTGTTCATTTACTAACATTATATTTATATATTACAATTTTTAGTGGTGGGTTTATTTACACCTTGTCAAGTTTTTTTTTGTTTTTTTTTTCTTTTTGATTGAAAGTTTTGATCTTTGATTGCATTTCCATGGTAAATATTATTCCATACTTTTAAATTATATCTTTAAAATATAAAAATAATATATACGTGTTTCAAATTTGTAGTTCGTTTGTGAAATTAAAGAATATGTTATTATTACCGACTATCCGTTGGTCTAGTAAGATAAGACAATAATTTTCTTAAATAAAGTTAGTGGTTTGAATTTTGACGTTTGCGAAATAGAGCAAATTAGATTGGGAGGGTGATCATCATCTGTGTAATACCTGATCTGGATTAATCATTCAATAAATCAAAATTCGATATTTATCAAATATATATTATAATTTAATATAAAAAAATCTTAAACCCTACCTCTTTTTAACCATAAAAAATAGAATATATTATTATTATTATTTAATATAAAAAATCTTAAATTATACTTATTCTTCCATTTAAATATCTTATTTTTTTTACCAAAGTAGATGATTAGGTGTCTAAATTTTCGATATTACCATTTTAATTGTTTAGCTCGTCACGACTGTTAAAAAATCTACCAGTCATTTAAAGCACGTCACGTAACAAATTTCTAAATTGTTAAAAATGAAATTATTATTTATTTTAATAAACCTAAAATTATTCTAAAATATATAAAAGAAAACGTAAGATTTTAAAATTCAATCATTAAATTAAAAGGTAAGGGACAGTAAAAATAACATAATACTAACATGAAAACCTAAAGGATGTGAAGAAAAATAGAATCAAAACCTTTCCTTAAATATATATTTCATCATCCAAATTTTTTTTTGGCAATTATCAATAATTTTATTGTCTTTATTTTGACCTATACATAATATTAATAAAGACGTGGAGATATAAAGAACCAATCTGACATATTATTTCACGAATATTTCTGAATGTATCGATAAATTTTTCGTAAAAATATATATAGCCATATGAGAGCATCGAGCTTTTCTAATCAGAAAGTGCATTATAGTGAATATAACATGAAACGTCAAACTATCATAATACTTTAAAAGACGAATAAAAGTAAACACTTTAAAATTTTATGGAAAATAAATAAATGAAAATGAATAAAATATTTGTTTTGATATGAAATAAAGAAATTAATCAAAACGCGAGAATTGATTTAAAGAGACGAGCAAAATTAATAATAAAAGAGAAAATAACTTCAGTGACCGAAAATTCCTTATAATATACGATTTTAGCCAACTTTTTTACGATTTGCCAAAATGACCAACAAAATCGCAATGTGATCTCTAAATCGCAACGCGATCTCCATTATCACAATTCAGTTTCCAGATTCGCAACGCGATTTTGCCCATTGCATTGCGATTTTCGAAATCCGCGTTGCGATTTTAGATAATCGCAATGCAAATATGTAAATCGCAATGCGAATATATAAATCGCAACGCGATAACACTTGATCGCAACGCGATTCTGACTATCGCAACGCCATTCGGACTATCGCAACGCGATAATACGTGATCGCAACGCGATAATACGTGATCGCAACGCGATTCTGACTATCGCAACGAGATTCTGACTATCGCGTTGCGATAATATAAAATCGCAATGCGATTTTCAAAGCGCCATTAGTATTGCAACGTGTATTTTATTTTCAAATTCCAAACACGAATATTTACCTGTAATCGCAACTCTTAACCTAAAACCCTAAATTACAACTCAGTCTCATCTCCATCTCTCACTCTCTACGGCGAAATCCGTCCCCATCTCCGGCGAAATCCGTCTATCTCCATCTCTCAGAGCCACCCTCACAATCATTCACGATCAGAAATGGAAAATCAACCAAATCAACCACCGAGGGTTAGTTTTTTTAATTATTTTTATTTTGAAATTTTTGCATTATTATTAGGTTTTTCATATTGAAATTAATAATAAGTTTACTGGTAATTTCAATAATAAATTGTTGCCAATACTGCTACTGTTTAGTCTTTAACCATGTGAAGTTAGTATTTGTCTTTGTTTTGTCTTTTGGTTGAAGTAATGCAATTCATTCAAGTTTCAATTTTAGACAATGACCATTTGAAACCGAGAATCGCAACGCAAAATGAAAATCGCAACGACAAAATTCGCGTTGCGATAGCCATTTCGCGTTGCGATAGTCAAATTCACGTTGCGATAATCATTTTCGTGTTGCGATTTTCATTTTCGTGTTGCGATTTTAAGTTTCAGAAACTATTCTTCTTCTGCAAATTGAAACTTGAATGAATTGCATTACTTCAACCAAAAAACAAAGACAAATACGAAATTCACAGTGTTGCAAAATTAAGTTTGAAGAATAAACTACTATGCTTTATGTTTATTATTGTTTTTGGTATATCTTCACAGTGTAGTTTTTGGTATATCTAACTTGGTATGTTTATTGTTTTTGTAGAACTTTTTTTCGGCTCAATTGACCTTAAGGAATAAAATAAGTCTAGTCACTACAATTGCGTCGAAGCTTTCACTTGTACAAAGACAATTGTTTGAGGATACTTGCTTCGGGCCATGGCTGAAAGTACAATATCCGGGTGGAGATGCTATGTTGACCCATTTGTGGCTTCAAACCATGACACGCGATCTACCCGAGAGTATAGAACGTGGTAATGAAGAGATATAGTTTCATTTTCCACCGGCGTATACGTGTTTTGGGCATGAGGAATTTTTCTTAATCATTGGTCTACGCTTCGGACACGATGATGTAGGTCGATACACTAGTCATATTACCCGCCCATCATGGTTATCTTGGGTTTTTCCTGAGCTGTCAATGGAGAAGCCGAATTTACACGTCGACGACTTGACGAGATTATTTGATAAGAAAGATGGTTTTACTCGGATGGATGACGTCGATGTTGTCCGAGTATGCCTTTTAGTACTTTTGCATGCCAGCTTTTTAGGCATAGAGGGCAGACAACCTATTCCTAAGGACCTAATATTATTGGTAGAGGACCTAAATGCATGGAACCTATTTCCGTGGGGTTCGTATCTATGGAAAGCTACCTGGAATAAGTTGTCGTCTGCCTTTGATGACCGCAAAAGTTTGCGTGGCGATGGTTCCAAATACACTTTGTCAGGTTTTATTTGGGCCTTTAAGGTAAGAATTTCTATATAATGTTTCCAAAATTATAATTAATTATTTTAACAATTACTAATGTTTGTGTATTATATTGTTTGTAGATTTGGATATTTGAGGCTTTTCCCGACATGCAGACATATGCATTCAAAACTTCAAATGATATTCCTAGGGTTATTTCCTGGAAGAGGAAACGGCGGCTGTTGATTTGGGAATAGTTACTACGATATACAAAAATAAATGATGTAAGTTAACACAAATACTACCATATATAAATAAGTTATTACTAGTACACGTTTAACTTTATTTGAGTTTTTATATTGTTAGGAGGTCAACACTCCATTACAGAGGCTGACACCCACGGAGGCTGAGCTTGCCACTGATTGGTGGCAAGCTAGTAAGCATTTTTTTGATGGCACGGATGATGAGCAGCCTCCACTTCGAGAGCCATCACCTTACCCAGAGCCATCACCTGATCGACCACACTATACACCTCTACAACGAGAGTCGTCACCTATTCTGTCACATCATCGAGCCTCTTCTCCACAATCACCTCATGATAGGCGGCCGACAAAGATGCCACAACATTTATCTCCCTGTTCTCTACCTTCACATGATTAGTTAGGGGAGTTATGTGATGAGGTCAATGCCTTGCGTGAGGAGGTCAGTACTTTACGCGATGACAATGGTGAATGGCGTGAGGAGGTATCTACTTTATGTGGTGAGGTAGCGGCTCTACGTTAGATGGTAGCATCGTTGCAGAATGTTACTCTACGCAACGAGGTAAGTTTAAGATTTTTCATTTAACTTGATTTACTCGTAATTTCACTTAGATTAACCATTTCACTTAGATTGCTTAGTAAATTCATTCGGTTGCTGCCAATACTGCTAAACAGTTCTAAAATAACTTAGTATTTGTCTTTGTTTTGTCTTTTGGTTGAAGTTAGTAAATTCATATTTGTCTTTTGGATTGCTTAGTAAATTCATTCGGTAGTAGTTTATTCTTCAAACTTAAATTTGCAACAATGTGAAGTTAGTCTTTGTCTTTTGGTTGAAGTAATGCAATCCATTCAAGTTTCAATTTGCAGAAGAATAATAGTCACAACACGAAAATGATTATCGCAACGCGAATTTGACTATCGCAACGCGAATTTAGTTTCGCGTTGCGATAGTCATTTCGCGTTGCGATAGTCAAATTCGCGTTGCGATAATCATTTTCGTGTTGCAATTTTAAGTTTCGTTTTGCGATTTTAAGTTTCAGAAACTATTCTTCTTCTGCAAATTGAAACTTGAATGAATTGCATTACTTCAACCAAAAGACAAAGACAAATACTAATTTCACAGTGTTGCAAATTTAAGTTTGAAGAATAAACTACTACCCTTTATGTTGTCCTT